GGCTTGTTGAGGTGTAGCAAGAGTTGCAGGCTGAGATGGACTAATTACCTGCGGCCAGGGATTAAAAGAGGAAATTTCACCCCTCATGAAGAAGGCATGATAATCCACCTCCAAGCTTTATTAGGCAACAAGTAAGCAATTAATTTTGCATAATATAATTACCTTACTAAATTGACATCATTAAGTTAATCTACTTTGCTATTAGCCTACCAATTTGGCTTACCTATTGACAAAATCTGGATTATTGATTTTGTTACTATATATATGCTTGTTAAGTGTATTTTTCGCGCAAAAAATGACAATAAATTTCATGTTGAACTTAGTATATAATATATATATGATCATTTATGATCACACGTCGTATTTTATTTCAATAGTTTCTTCGGGCAGGTGGGCTGCAATAGCCACGTACCTTCCGCAGAGAACTGACAACGACATCAAGAACTACTGGAACACGCACCTTAAGAAAAAGCTCAAGAAACTCCACCAATCGGGTGTCGCCACGTCATCATCATTAATATCTTCCAACTCGTCGACCAATTATTACCGTCGTCTCATGTCGAGAGGCAATTCGGTCTATACCTCTATGAGTGCCGAGAACATATCGAGGCTTCTAGAAGGTTGGATGAGGTCATCATCAACCCTTCCACATGATGCTAACATTAATCTTGGCAATAACAATAGTGTTATTAATTTTCCGAATGAAATTAGTCGTGACGAATTGATTTATCGCGATTTCGGGAAGAATATTATTCGCGACGATTTCGACATAATTGATTTGGAGGGAATTTTGTCGTTCGATAATGGTTGTAATAATCGGAATCCGGCTAGTGTTAGTGGCTTGCTCGACCGGGAAAAGGCGAAAAATGATGAAACGAATTATCCGCCATTGTCGTTTTTCGAGAAGTGGTTGTTAATGGATGAGAGTGCAGGTCAAGTGGAAGGAGAAGGAGAAGGAGAAGGAGAAGGAGAAGGGGGTCATGGAGCTGCCATTAATACTCTAAATATGGAGTTATTTTAATTGATTTTTATTTTTTATTATTATTTTGAATGAAAATTAGAAGTTTGTAATTTCTTCTGCTAGGGTTTTCCAAAGGTTGGATTGGATCTCTTTGACGTTATTAATCTTCTTTTAATTGTAATTTTTTTTATTTAATTTAATCTTATTTAAGAGTTGTAAGTTGATTAGGAAATTGTGTTAACTGATTTAGTTATGCATGAGCTACATTGATCTTCTTGTTGCTTAAATGTCATTTCTTTCTTCTATATCAATATGTGTTTAACTGATTTATAAACATTTCAATTGCAGTGCTCCTACTTTTATTTCTTCTCTTTATTCCATTTTATGTATACTGTGTAGACATTTTGCTAGTACACATACGTATAAATTGTGATAAATCAGAAGTAGAATATTAAATTAATTTATATATGCAATTTACGAACAGATCGAGGACCACGTCCTGATTTTTTTTATTCTTTTTGGTATCAACCTCGTCTTGAATTTCAGTACATTAGACATATATATATGATGTCCTAATTATATATCTGGTACATATTGTATGTTGTTCATTTAGTATTTATTAAGATTGAAATATAAAATAAAATAGACGATTTGATGTGTAATTTCCAATCAATAAATCTGCTAATTGTGTGACGGTTACTCCATCATATATATATATTTTCGAAAAAGATGCATACAATCAAAACGAAACAAAATATTAATTATGCAAACAATATGACATAAATAAAAGTATGATATATAATAAAATAAATATATATTTTATTTATCGTTGCAGGTAATTATCATACCCTCATACAAAATTTTGTAATTTCAGATTAATACTAGTTTTTGTCCCGTGCATTTGCACGGAAAATTATATAATACATAAAAAAATAATAAAAATTATAAACAATAGTAAAAAATCATAACAAAATTATAGAAAAAAATTAAGAAAAAAATATAAATATTCTTAAACACTTCTTTATAAAACAACGTCGTGGTTTTTTTATCGTCAAAATCTCTCTCAGCTCAAATCAAAATCTTCAAACCCCACTGACTCGTAACTCTAAAAAGCGTCACTAATAATTGCTCATGACTAAATGCTGAGCTCTTCAGTAGTAATTAAGCCGACGTGCGACAGAGACTATCTTTGACTCTTACTGATCATGTCATAACATAGGAAACACTTCTTTATATTGTTTGTCCTTGACTCTTATTGATTGATAAAAATTGTCCTTGCTTCTTAATAAAAAATACCATCTAAATATAAATGAGTAAATATAATATTAATTTTTCATATAAACAAAAAATTTAAAGATCTGTAATAGATCTGTAAATATATGTATTTTTTTGAGTTTTTTTTTTTTTT